ATGTCCGCTTTTCCCATTGGGAGTTTCCTCACTAACTATAGAAGTCTACATATGAGCTCGGGTAGAAGTGTACAGAACTTCGTATGAATTTCCTGAAATTCCCTCAGTCACCTACACACATTGCCTTGTGAATTGTCGAGTTTTTAGGATCATAAACTCGACCTAGAATCAGAGCGCAATGTAGTGATGAGAATAGCCAGAGAGCGCGGTCAGGATCCGGAACCGGTAGAGCATTGGGGCTCGCCGTGAAGGCAATGCTGGGCCTTTAGGAGATAGTAAATCGCCGAGGAACTTGGCGCACGTTGGCCGCCGATCGTCGCCGTGGGTTGGCAGTAAGTCGTTCATTCGGTGACAGAGAGTTCAAGAACAGCAACCACGGTCTAACGTGTTTTCCTTACTGTGAGCGACTCGATTGCTGTGCGTTTCTATTCAAGAGTACTGTTTCAAGGTACCATGTCGAGCTTGAGCGAAGAGCATGTCGCCTGTGTTATCGCAAGTGATGGTTTATGGGATGTCATTTCGGAGGAGTGAGTCGACTCGGTGGCTACTGCGTCTTCTTTGCTTGTTTTTAGGGAAGTTGCCGAAGCTGTCGTAGTAGCACGGGAGAAATTCCCACTACTGACGCCTCGTGACTTGAGCGAAGAGCTTTGTCGGATGGCGCTACTGCGGAACTCACAAGACAACATAACGGTGGTGGTCGTATTGATCAATCACAGCCCTTGAGGAGGATACTGTTGATGGTTTCCGTGCTTTCTTTTGCATCATCTCGGTACATTATCGTCGTATACTGATTACATGTAGCTATACCATTGCTGGAACTTCAGCGTAACTCACGATTGAGCTTTCTTGACGCCGAAGCGTCGTTCAAGATCAACCATGTGCATGCCCAGCCCTGCTCTAGTGATCGGCGAGATAGCAGGATTCTAAAAAGGTGTGGTATTGTGTTGTCAATGCATCGTCGGTTCAGGCAGGCAATTGTGAGAAGTAAATCTCGATCGTCATCGGCGACCTTCTAGGGGAGCAGCTCAGTGTTGCCCTGTTTTCGCTCAGTCCATTGCTGTCTACGGAATGACCTCAAGTTTCTAGTCTCGAGATTTTTTAAAAAGGAGACAGCAATTGTGCAAACACAACGCACGGATCCCTTGGTACAGGATCCGTACTTGATGAAGACTATCGAACTCTATAGTATACTGTGGCGTTCACCGACACATCCTTATCTTGCGGAATTCGAAGATGCGGTGCGGGAAAATAGGCGCATTGTCAACCACATGTGTTGGTGGCTATGAATATTCATAAAAAATTTTGAAGATTCTTGTTGGTTTCTGTCAATTTTCCACCCGACTTTGAATGTAAATCTCTATAGTTTGTGAGTAGACTCTTGAGCTCGGCTGAGGAGAGCGAACATATTTCTCAACACTGGCGTTGGGAAGCTTCTCATAGATTCTCATGAGGCCACCGGTTGCGGTGGAATAATGCCTATGGACTCCACTGCGAATCATACTAGGCAGTCTGGCAGCATCCTGCGTGATCTCAGGTGACGCATAGCACATGTGTTGGTGACAATATGAAAATCCTGAGGAAACTTTGAGAAATTCCTGTTACTTTCGTATACCTCCACCCGTAGTAGTGTGTTAAACGCTATCATTGGTGAGGAAACTCCCGAGCTCAGTTGAGGGAAGAAAACATACATTCCAACACTTGATGACAGACGACTCAACTGGCCTCCTTTTAATGACAGCGTTTAGCCGTTGTCTCTTCATGACATGAAATACCGTGAGGATAATGCATCTAGCTCGAGTAGTCGTCATCACGTAGAGGACGAGGAAGAGGAGATGTCTTTCAGAGAACTTGAGGAGACCAGACTGCTGAATGACCGGTGGGTTAGAATGGCATTCTTGGTGAAGTGTTGAGGATAGGTTGAAACGTGAAAATGAAGAATTGACGAGGAGATTGTCTTCCCCCCGGCCGAATGAGCTAAGTTCACCTCCTACAGTGAGTCAAACTGCTCTCACAATCACTGAGCGTCTTAGCACGTTCCGTTTCCGACTCAAGCAAGCGAATAGTAATCAAACAGCAGTTACGTAGCCTTCACAATAGAGTCGACCGTTTGAGTCGGGAGCGGGAAGAAATGAAGCGTGAGGAGATGTCTCGAGAACTCGATCGCTTGAAGTAAGAGTAGCATGTTGTTTGAGCATCCAGTATACAGATCTTACAGAGAGCGCGATCGTATACAGACCCGTCTGACCTCGCGACTCGTTGATATATTGAACCGTGCACTACTCAAGGTCCATCCTGATGCGCGGACGCATATAGAAAATGGTAACGTCATCATAACACGTGCGGGGTCGGCCGAGGATTTTCCCAGAGGTCAACGATACACTAAAATTGCATCGCCTACCCCTATTCTCACCAAGCAGTGACTTCCGTACTCCGCTTCTCAGCTATCGCGAGCCCATAAGGTTCTCTGAAGTAAGCCTCTATGACGCTCAAGATGAGTTTGATTCAATGTAACCTAGGAAAATGAAGTCCCAACATCACCGAGTCACTTGGAACTCCCGAACAACACCCCCGGCGCTGATTCACCAACACCGCAGGGAGCGCGAAACATAAAGTTCTTATATCATTCCTAAAGATATTTGCATCATTTCCCCATCGTTTGCAGGTTTTCAACGACCTCGAAAGGGTCGAGGCTCAGTTACGGAAGAGCTGAGTCGATTGGAAGAGAAATAGAGGAGATATCGTGCAAGCTTCAACTTATATCACGCCAAGTTCGCGAGCTCAATGCTTCCGCTCAATGGGGGCAGTCGGTTTCATCACCAGAAACGGCTGTCAGACCAGCCGAGATAGTAACTTCGTCAACACAACCAGCACGATGCTCGTATTCAAGACCATTACCGTCAGTGTCTCCTTACGTGGTTCAGAGCTGGCAGGGTGTCAACGTAAATCTCCTCTCACCTTGGAGTCGATCGGTGCATACTGCATGGCCGACAGGCGACTTCTTGCGTCATAGTTAATGAAGTTGTCGAAGCGAATTTCTTCGTGCCGAACCGATTTGTGTTACGAGTCTGTGCGTGGTGCTCCCATTGGTAGACTTTGTGACGCGCCAATATTCATAGCATTGCGTGATTCAATGGACCTTATGAGCAGACTCATGAAAGCGCTTCGATAAGTGTACATCCTTGAATTCGTCTCTTCAACGATCTGAGCCATTTTTGGAATGAAACTCCGAGATGCACGATGGCTGTCGCAGGATCTGAGAAGCGGTCAGATTGTTTGTTTATTAATCTCTATGTCTGAGTCGTGTCACTCGG